CTTACTTATATTTCTTTTCACATTATTGGTTATTATATTAATATTATATTATATTGAAAGAAAATTATAGGATAAGATTAATACGAATATATTGAAAATAAATATTTGATTGTATGTACGCGTATATTAGGTTGTATTTGAAAAGTTTTCATAATATTTGAAATAAAACATTGATACACAAATTATTATTATTTCAAATTTAAGGACAGGAAAAATCTTGACATGGGTGCATGCATGTATACAACATTTTCTAAATAAACGGTTAACATTATACAATTGTGTAACATACATGTACGTACCGTACAACCCGTTTGTGTCCTGCCACCTACGCGTGGCTTACGTTTTGCGAGTGCTTTTAATCTCTTTGGACCTGACGTAAAGTCTCTTTGTTCTCTAATGTAAGATATTATAGAAAGGTATAAAAGGATTGAGAAACGGTGTTGTTTTTTGTTGGATACGATTGTGTTTCTCTGCGTCTTACTATTCCCCTTCTACTTTTCCTTCCGTTTCTTCTTCCTTTTCTTTTTGATTTTATTTAAACAAAATTATTAACAAATTTAGTATTACAACACACGGTTCATTTTTGTTTGTTCAAAACTTTTTAGATGTTTTTCCTTTTTTTTTTCTTTTGACTAACGTATATAAAAAATACATTAGAGCAATAATATTTTTAAAGAGGACAAAAAGTATATTTTCGATTTTGAAATAAATCAAATTATTTCTCTCTGACGATTGTTAATAATATTTAGAGAATATATATTTTGTTTATTATTTATACCATTGTAAAATTTGTTTATAATGTTTTTGTCAAAATTTATTAGAAAAGTATAACTTCATAAGTCAAATAAAAAAAAAAAACAAGATAGAAACGCTACAGTATAGAATTTTTGTTTTTTATTAAAAAATTATATAATATAATAATTCCTCGAATATATTATGTAATTGCAAAATAAATAAATAAATAAATAAATAAAAAAAATATATGACATATTTATTATTAATAAAAGAAGAAAAAAAACAAAACTTATTGAGTCATACTCGAGATACAACAAAAATTGAAAACATTTAATAATCGTTTTTTTTCTTTTTTCTTTTTCGTTTTATCGTATAAACACAATTTAATTGTAAATTCGATGGCTATGTAAATCGATGTAATCTTTGTGTAAGGATTATCAAGCGTATATTTGTATGGGTTTTAAAATGAGGCCTTCGTTATCAAGAAACAATAAATGAAAGAATCAAGTCAACACTCGTTTGTATGCGATGATGCATTCGTTATTTTTTTTTTTCATGTTAGCTGACAATATCATTAAAGAATAAGAAAGAGAGAGAGAGAGAGAGAGACAGATATACTTATACATACGTATTTACACACATACATATGTACCTATATATATTTTTATTGTTAGTTCGATATTAAAGAGAACGCGGTTATCGGTTTTGACCCATGTTATATTCGTTTCTTCTTTTGCTTTCGCAATAATTTGTGAAATATGTTTTTTTTTTTTTTTAATATCATTTATTAAATGTATTTTATAAACAAATGTATCGAATTCGATGAATTTGTTTTCTCTTTTTTTTTTTTCCAATCGTTCCTACAAGAATACGTTTTGCTCTTTTGACAAAAGATTTTTTATTGAAATTATATTTCAATTAGAAAATAGAAAAATAAAACACGAATGACAAATTAATTAGATCAGATTAGATGGAAAGTATTTTAAATTAAACGATTTCGGGTCATTTTAATTAAACAAATTTGTATGATGAAAAAAGGATTAGAACTTTAGAAAGTATTATTTAATATATTGATGAGACTTTTTTTTAAGTCGATAAATTAAATACAAGAGATGAAAAAAAATACAAAACGAAGAATAAATATATAATATAAAATGATTAAATTGTAGAGACGGGAATGTTGTATCGGTGATATATTTCGAAAGGTTGTTTTAATTAAAATAACATTTTCGATACAATTGTACAGATAGGAAAAAAGAAAAATAAGTATGACGAAGTAGGATATTCGACAATTAAAGTATAGTAAAAAAATTCGTAATCTTTTTTTTATAGAGAATTTCGATGCTAATAATCTAGAGATATCGAATTTAATTATTATGTTAATGTAATCGTTTGTATTTCTCTTTCTTTGTATTTTTTTTTTCTCGTTGATTAATTGTAGACATTTAAAATAATTATCGTAATTTAGGTCGCGAGACAGATTAATGATTGAATTATTCCACTGGGACGATACAATAATCATTATTGATGATATATTTGTTTATCACTTTTGCGTAATATAAAATGAAAAAGTAAATGAGATATATCAGGTGGAAAAACAAAATTTTAATTAGGGATTTATCTGTATAACTGGATTGTTATTGATTACAGGAAAACAATGTAAAGTTAGTTATCAACGAAACAAAATCAATATATACAAATGTATTATAATAATTAATTATAATAATAATTAATATATTATATAAATCATATGTTATCTTTTTTCAAAAAGAAAATTAATGAGAGTATTTTATTAATTGTTAAAATTTTCTATAGTTACCTATTAACGAAAGAAATTAATATATACAAAATGTATTATAATAATGAATATATTATATAAATCATATGTTATCTTCTTTCAAAAAGAAAATTAATGAGAGTATTTTAATAATTTAAAAAATTTTCTATAGTTACCTATTAACGAAATAAATCAGGATACAAATTGTATTATAATAATACATCATAACAGATATATATATTTTTTATCAAATAGAATTAGTTTATTATTGCATAGATAATGGGGCAACGAACATATTCTTCAACTCAATGCTATGAATCATCAAATGTAAGAAAGAAAGAAGTTCCTTACTGTCTTTATACTGTGAACAAAGATTAAAGAAATATTCAGAAGAAAAAGAGAAAAAGATAAAAACAAATATATGGCAATGAACTTTTGACTTACAATGAAATAAAAATAATCAACAAACGCATATGCCATTATGGATCGATGCATCCATGAAAAGTAGAAATATACCATTTCATCTTTATCCATCTATTTATTTATCTATCTATCTATCTTGTTCTATCCTTCTACAATTTATTAATCATTTTCAAAAATTGTTTTGATAATACGCAGAAAATCGTGTGTAAAGTTTATGTAAATGGAATCTCTTCTTGTAAAGCACATTCGTTTATCTTGATGTCAAGGGATAGAGAAGGGAAAGGGTTTTTTTTTGGGGGGTAGAAAAGAATAAAAAGAAAGAGAGGAAGGAAGGAAGGAAGGAAGGAAGGAAGAAGTGAAAAAGAAATAGTGTTGAGTTACAAAGGGACGAACTGGTGCATCTTTCGCCTCAATTGGGCCAACTGTTAGGATCGTTTATTTATAGTACGTGTGCACATATGCACTTTCGTGTGTACTGACGGATTTAAATCGATCATTTCTCTCTCTTTCTCTTTCTATGTTATTCAAATCTTACTTTGTCAGATTTGATCGTGACTCATTCTCTAAGTAATTTTAAATGTTACTTTATTTTGTGTTATATATATATAGATACGATAATATTTATTATAATTATAAAATATTATACACATAATAAATAGGTAT